ATGCTCTCCTTTATAAAAGTTGCTGTGCTGGGCAGTGGTGTCTCACTCCTTTAATCCCAGCACTTGGGGGCAGAGGCTAGAGGATCTCTGTGAGTTCAAGGCCAGCCTGGTCTACAGAGCGAGTTCTAGGACAGCCAGGGCTGCACAGAGAAACCCTGTCTCAAAAAAAGAAAAGAAAAGAAAGAGGAGTTGCAGAGTTGCTGTGCCGTGGTGTCTCTTCACAGCAATAGAAACCCCGAGACAGCGTGCATGCATACAGTTGTGTGTGCAGTGCCCACATACGCCAGAAGAGGGCGTCAGATCACTTGGAACTGAAGTTACAGGGCGTTGTGGGTGGGTATAGGTGCTGGGAACTGAACTCAGGTCCTCTAAAGGAGCAATCTTAACCAGTGAGTCATCTCTCCAGTCCTAAAGGGTAAGTTTTTACTACAGAGCCACAGTAACTGAAACACTGAAGTCCTGGTATAATTGAGAACAGACAGATGACGTGAACAGAACTGAAAGCCCAGATACAAATGCTTTTTTCAGGTTGGTTGCTTTTTGTTTTTTTAAGAGAAACAAGGGTTTCTCTGTGTAGTCCTGGCTGTCCCGGAACTCACCAAGATCCACCTGCCTCTGCCTCCTGGGATTAAAGGAGAGTGCTGGGATTAAAGTCATGTACCACCACTGCCCACCACACCGGCTCAGATACAAACTCTTACATCCGGGAGCCACTGATTTAAATGGGGCGGGGGGGGGGGGGGTCTTTTCAAGAGATGTGCCAGGACAATGGGATCTTCATGAGAACCATGGGGCTGGACTTTACCTCCATCACACAGCAGAACTCACTCCAAGGGGAGGCGTGTGGTGTAAACACAGGGTCACCAACAGCAACCTCTTTGTTGTGGGCTCTCTGACAGTTTTCAACTATGATACCCAAACCACGTGTAACCAAAAGTAAATGTAGGTAAGGTGAACTTCATTGGATTAAAACCTTCTTGACACAAAGAGCACCGTTCACAAACTGAAAAGGAGCTGTGTGGTGGCTCACTCTCCTGTAGTCCTAGCACTTCAAATGGGTGACACCAGTCTGGAGCCCCACTACCTATAATGGAAGTTCCAGACCACACAGGAGACCTGGCGGGATCAGGTGGTGGGGACAACAGAGATTAAAACAGACGAATACTCATAAATACATACAAATAACTTGAAAGGGATCCCAGGACACAGAGCAGACCTCTCAACAACGAAAAGGCAAGCCATGGCTGGGGAGAGGCTCAGTGGGTAAGAACACTCACGCAGCAGGCATGAGGACCTGAGTTCAAATCCCCAGCACCCATGTCAAAGCCCAAGCATGGCTGAGCATGCTGTAACCCCAGCAACGGAGGGTGGTGTTGCAGACAGGAAGATCCCAAGAACTCACTGACCAGCTAGCCTGGCTGAATGGGGAGCTGCAGGTTCAGTGTGAGACACTGTCTTGTGGTGATAAGGTAGAGAGGGACAGTCAACCCCCTGCTCTGGCCTCTACATGCACAAACATGTGCACCCTCACATGCATGTGTGCGCACCTCATGACAAAACTCACACATATAAGACAGCTCAATGAAAGAACTGGTAAAGCAGCCAGGAATGGTGTGATGTGCCGAAGTCCCAGCTACCTGGGAGGATGAGGAGAAGGATTCGCTTGAATCATGATTTTGAGACCAGTTGGGTGACATGGTAAGACTCATCGCATAAACAAGGGATATACCTCAGCTGATAGAATGTTTGCCTACACCCTGGTTTTCAACCCCAGCACTGCGTGAACTGGTCGGAATGTGGTCCACCCACAACCCTGGCATTTGGGAGGTAAAGCTGTGGGCATTAGAACATCAGGTTATTCTCAGATACACAGCAAGCTTGAGGCTGGCCTGCAATACATGAGACACTGTCAAAACACACACACACACACACACACACACACAGAGCCCAAATGCCGGCACCAATGGTGGTGTACGTCTTTAGTACCAGCACTCGGGAGGCAGAGGCTGGTGGATCTCTGTGAGCTCCAGGCCAGCCTGGTCTACAGAGTGAGATCCCGTCCCAACAAACAAACAACAAAACAAACATCAAACCTCACTACTGCCTGTTAACTCGGGCTCCAGGGGACCCAACGCCCTCTTCTGGCCTTTTCAGGCATCAGGCTCATGTCGATATACCCACAGACACAAAATTAAATCTCAAAACAAACAAACAAACAAACAAACAAAAACATCCAGTGGCTGAGGCAATCACAGGTCCTAGTGGGGAATCACTATGACTGTTCTAACAGGAGATGGTGTGCCCACCCAATTCCCTTCCAGACACGCCTGTTTATGCCAGGGATCAGGGCTGCTGCCAGCTTCAGCCCGAGAGTCTTCTTCTTGCAGTGGGTGGTAATTACTGCAGAGACTCATATCTGGTCGGCCTGCTGAGAATTCCTGACTGCTGAAAGCTGAGCCCCGAAAGGACACTGATGTCACCCCCTCCCATGCTCCAGGAGCACGGTGGACGATGGTAACTGAGAGGAGGGGCTGGAGGAGGGCGCAGGGCTGTGAATGCTGTCTTCTGAACAGGAGAGAGGCCACACACTCTGGAGCCGTCAGCAGCTGTGACTGTCTATACACAGTCTTCCTGCAGAAGACCAGCCATCAACACGCTAACGGAGAGCCAAGAGCAAACCATGGCCCCTTATACACACACAGTGCGTAAACAAATAGAAACAAAACCAGAACTAATCCTGCAAGCTGTCGCCAGACAATATTAATAGACAGTTTGTCTGGGGGGGATCATTCTTCCTCTGGCTCGGTTGATAAGATACTGAAATTCTTTTTTTTTTCCTTTTAATCTTTAGATTTATCTATTTTATATGAGCACTTGCCCCCCAATTATGTCTGTGCACCACATGCATGCCTGGTGCCTGCAGAGGTCAGAGGAAGGCTGTGAGTCACCATGTGGGTGCTGGGAACCGAACCCGGGACCTCTGGAAGAACAACAAGTGCTCCTAACCACTGAGCCATCTCTCTAAGCCCCAAACATTGAAATTCTCTAAGATTTACTTTTATTTTATGTATATATGTATACATTTGTATGAATGTATGTCACATGTGTGTAACACCCCCAGAAGCTAGAAAGGACCACAGATTGGAACTGGAGTTACAGACAGTTGTGAGCTGCCATTCAGGTGCTGGGAACCAAACCGGGTCCTTTGCAATTCTTTTTTTCCTCTTTTTTATTTTACATGCATGGGTGTTTTGTCAGTATGTAATGTGCCTGCAGAGACCAGAAGAGTGCGTCAGATCCCCGAAAACTGGAGTTACAGACAGCTGTGAGAAACAACATGGGTGCTGGGAATTGAACCTGGGTCCTCTGGAAGAGCAGACAGTGCTCCTAACCACTGTGCACCTCCCCAGCCCCTTAATCTGAGTGTAGCACATACTTTAGTGGGGAAGGCCTTGGTGTGAGGTTAAGATCATGGGCTTTGAAGACCAACTGAGTGAATTCAAGTCCTTCCTTGGCCACTGACCAACTACTGGGGGACTAGTAAGACTAGTAAGCACTAAGTCTAGGTCTACCAAATATGTACAGTGATGTCACTCTCATGGGGATGGTGGAGGGGTGCAGGAATTCAATGTGATCAGCCCAGAACTCAGGCTCTCTGGAAGAAAGCTAGAGTGACTGAAATTATTCCCCACCTCAGCATCAGAAGCAGGAATCCAGACAACCTACCGCTGACAGTCAATGAACACAGAGATCTCATCCGGTAAGCACCTGTCTCAATCAGCACCTGCCCTCGCAGTGGATTGTGGGTCTCAATCGGCACCCCCCTCGAAGTGTGGGCGGTGTGGGGATTGCATGCCCCTCAAGTGCTCTACCACTGAGCTACATCCCAAGACCCTTTCATTTTGAGACAAGCTTTCTCTAAATTACTCAAGTTGGCCTTGAACTTAAGATCTTTCTACCATATTCAGTGTTAGAAGCATAGGTGCCAGCAATCCCAGCACCCAGGAGGCTGAGGCAGGAGAATCACCACAAATTCAAAGCTGGCCTAGTCTACATAGTGAGTTCTAGAACAACCAGGGCTGCCTTAAAAGACACACACACACACACCCCTACACTGCCCACAGACATAGACACACACACCACATGCATAGACACATACACGTAGACACACACACACACTGCACACACACACACTGCACACACGCACACACACACTGCACACACACACACACACA